TAGTTCTTTTGTGTCTCCTTGTGGTCTTCTTAATTTCTCTTTGTGGTTGTTTTGTGTCTCTTTGTGGTTGTTTTGTGTCTCTTTATAGTCCTTTTGTGTCTCCTTGTGGTCTTCTTATTTCTCTTTGTGGTTTCTTTTGTGTCTCTGAGTGGTTGTGTTTTGTCTCTGTGTTTTTTTGTGTCTCTTTGTTCTTGTTTTATGTCTCTTTGCAATCTTTTTATGTCTCTTTGTAGTCATTTTGTTTCTCTTTGTAGTTGTTTTGTTTTTATTTCAATGTGTTTTGCAGCTCTTTGTGGTTGTTTTGTCTCTGTGTGTTTTGCCCCTTTTTATTTTGTGTGTCCTTGCAGTTTTTGGTGGTCTTCTTGTGTTTCCTTGTAATCATTTTGTGTCTGTTTTGTGTCTTATTAGTCATTTTGTGGCTCTTCCTTATCAGCATGTGTTAATATGAGTAACATTTTGCAGGTGAAGGTCAGGGGGGTCCCTGACACTTTGGGCCCCTGGGCCTGTGTCTGGTTGGCCTGTTCAGTAATCCATCCATGAGGAGATTAATGCTCAGTCGAGAAGATAAATGAACATGTCACAGTCATGCTTGATGTGAGTGTGTGATGGATTGATGATCTTTGACATACACATAACATTAGCCGCCAGCCTTTTCCCTCTATGATCTACAGTGGGTTAAAACCTTCAGTTTTAGCTTCCATTCATATACTGTAATTAACACTGGTCCTACTGTAGCTCCCGTGGCAGTGGGACACAACTAACTTCACATTACCAAAGGAAGTCATTTATGCCCCCATTCTCCTTTTGATCCGTCAGACTTGTGATGAAAAGAATAGAGGAGCCTCGGTCTAGGATCCGCTGCCTTTGAGACTCTACAGCTTGACTCATTTCATTACTGTCATGAATTAAAGATCCCCAATCTCCTTTTTTCCATTCGTATGGCAATGATCCACCCTTAGTTAATTTACAGTCGCTCGTTGTGCAAGGGCCTCCAGCCTCAAAGCTCCCATGACAATTTACCTGTGTCCTTTTCACTTGCTGGTGCATATCATTGTGATATAGTATAATGGAATGAGCGGGGGACTCTGGAGTGAGTGGGCATGTTGTATAATGAGCTGGGGGAGGTATAGTAATCAGTTACAGTACACCTTTCACTTCCTGGTGCAAAGAGACATCTTAAGCAGTGAGCCAAATTAGTGTTTCTTCAGCTGGGAATATATTTAGGAAGGATGATACTCGGGGAATGTATAGCTTTGGATGATTTTTTGAGATCACGTCAACACTGTACCAGTTGTGCCCCAGAGATTTCTTTATAGGGTGGTCAGATGGGGCTACTGAAAATCTTGGGGTGTCACACCAAAACCACAAGCCATAACTGAATTTCAGGAATTCATTTATGCTGCTGGCGTATATGACATAGTTGAAAACTATGTCAATAAGGAGAGTCAAGGAATCACATACTGATATACCTTGGTTTCTTACTTTATGGTAAATATTACTAATTATCTCATCTGCGTAGACCAGTAGAGTTAACATCTTGAGTTCAACACCAATCCTGTTTTACTATCTTATTTATCTGTACCTTCTTCAAATAGTCCCTTTTCTTAAAAGACAAATATAGGCTACAACTTTAATATAAAGGAGTACTTTAATTATAAGGGACAACACAAAATGGGGAACAAGCCTTGTCAATTGTAGGGGAGACTCATGGGTACCCACAGAACCCATTGTCATTCAGATATCTAGAGGTGTGAGTTCATGGGACCCTTTTGAATATTGCCGTGCCAATTTGGCCACCAAAATTTACCCTAACTTTGGAGCTTTATTTAGCCCTCTTCTCAACAAGCTATGCTAAATAGGTTGGGACTGATGGATGGTTTATGTTGTCTTGTTTCACACGATACCACTGCCTTTGTGCTAGCTGTAAATTTAAGTTTGCCACTGCCTCTTAAGCCCAGTTCAGACCAAAGTTGCAGAGAAAAGTTGCAGCGGTGTGAACTGGCTGGTCTGAGCTCAATTCAAGCCAGGTGATGGTGTCACCTGATCGCCGGCAGCTGGTTTTAGAACGTAAAGCACATCACCTGTTTTAACAGCCACTTTGCTTGTAGTAAAGTCTGCCGGTCAAGTCAAAATGACTGCAGACGGCGTGGCCGCTTGCTGCTGCTCGCTGTATGTGCTTATGCCCTCCCATAGAAGCACACACTCGTTGGCTGATTAGTTAGCGTTGGTTATTTATCTTATTGCAGCGTATTTATTATGAATACAGTCCATTTGATGCTGGTTTTGTTTGTTTTTCACCGTTTCATCACTACTACAAATGCAGCTGTAGCCAGTATCTCACTATCACTATCCTCAATCATATTTCAAGAAGCTACAAATTATATTCAGCCACAAAATAAATGTGAAAAGCTGGAAATCAGAACAGAAGTACAGAGAGTTGTTGCATAGAGATGATACACCATCTCATCTAGTTGCATTGGTGTGAACCGGCAGGTTTTTACAACGTTGCAGAACGGCGCTTTGCAAGTAGTCTCATTGCAAATCTTTGGTCTGAACTGGGCTTTAAAGACAGAAATATCAGCCTCCATTTTTTTTTCCTGGATTGGCCATTTGTATCCTGGGGGCCATACCCACCATACTCCACCCTTGTGGGCGCCACTGCACTGTACAATGTCACTTTATTAAGATCCTATTTTAATGCAACTCGTGTTCTTGTCTATTTAATGATATTTTGGTTTAAAACTACAAAGTTTTTTTCACAGAAAGTATGTAAACATTTCTCCAGACCTGGGCTATTCCGGAGTATATTTTCTATCGGCTGTAACTCTGTACAGCACATCTATGAATGTTAGTTTAGGAAATGCAGCATTTGAATGTGTATTCTGTCTGTTGCCTCCAGCCTTGTTAGTAGTGGTGATAACCGCAGTGTTATTTGTTATTATTATTATTTTTTTCCTCTTGAGAAAAGCCTTATAAAATCCAGCACAAGAAATGGCACTCTGCCTGTTACAGTACACTCCCGGGCATACAAACAAGCAGCATACAAATGCATGACAGGATTATGCACACACATGTGTTTGCCCACACGGGTGCTTTCAGATAGAGCAGGAGAGACAGAGACGACCGTGAAAGGTGACAGCATTTCCTATTCTCGCGGGGTGACCTCGTTCTCAGCAGGTCGCTGCGGCGGCTTTGGACTGTGTCTCTACTGGCCATCTGGCCCTGCCGGTCTCCACTGTGAGCAAATACCAGGCGAGTGGCTCACTGACATATTCTGATGGTGTGATTCAATATTGGTGGTAGTTGTAAGCTTGGGATTAGCCTGCTGCACATACCCCCATTTCACTCGACTACACCACCCACCTGGCTGTGGTTTCCATTCACCTGCTCCCTGTGGTAATCTCTTGGCGTTTTTTCTGTCTCAGTCGACGTACTAAAGTATAATTAACACAAACATTTGATCTTGTGCCAGTGGGGCTTATAATACCCACAACCTAGTATCTTATGTATTTCTCACAATACAAAAAAAAAAAGATGCTATTCCAAGTGAGAGTTTGCAATTTGGAAAGTTTCCCATATTTCATTATGACATGATGCACACAGGTGGAAATATTCCAAATTCCCATATAGGAAATGTGATAAATAAAAAGATTGTCTTCACTGTGAGTCCAGTAATTTCTCTTCCAGAGCTCACACACACACACACACACACACACACACACACACACACACACACACACACACACACACACACACACACACACACGGTATGATCCCCTGCTGTCTCTAAGGGCGAGCAGGGAATCATCTTCCACAGATGAGGCTTCTCTGTCTCTGTCCATGGTGCTGAAAGATCTATTTTCTATGTTCGCCGGTAGGGGGCGTGTGCTACCTAAAGATAATAGCACCGCTGCTGTGAATCTAATCCCCCTGGGTCTGAGCAAAGCAGGCATAGCTGCAGAGTAAAGCGACGGTGAGCTGGTCCTTCGGTCCAATCAGCACTGCCAGAGTGTGTTTGTGCTGCTCAGTAGTCTAATCACTTTGTAAAAGCAGCCATTATCATATCACATGCGTGAAAACGGGATGTGGGACTCTCTGCAATGACATGCAATGCTTGCAGGCATTTTAATTTTCCATGTGGAGAAAATACAGAGAGAAAAAAATATATATATGTCAGCCAGAGCAGAAGACAATAGTTTTAATAATTATGTACAAAATTGCTCATTTATTTTCTAAACTATTTTAAAATATGAGCAATACATTATGATGAGAAGAATAAAAGGGAAATCTAAGAATAAAAATAAATACAGTAAAATAAAATATAAAATAAAATGTTTGGTAACAGTCCTGGGTCACAGGTAAGTTTGAGGATTTAAATGTTTTCCTGTCCGGTTAACCAAGCAGAACTGATTTTTTTTTTCCCCTGTCGGGTTTAACAACTCCGCCTCCGACATCAGAGCAGCCAAATTGTCCAGTCCCCAGGAGGAAGCGCTGGTCCCACCGGCAGGCCAGGCTCTTCGCCTGTCTTTTGGGGGGTGGGGGGGGGGTGGGGTGTTTTCGTATGCATATGCGTGCCTGGCCGTGGCCGATCCAAATAGATTCGCCTCACGTCACCTTCCTACCCACCCACCACCACCACCATCACCACCCCCCTGCACATAAAACATTCATTAGAGCGCAGCCCTGCGCTGCAAGAAATGTCCGTCTGAATAAGTCATTAAGTCTCAGATTCACTCCTGAAAATCTTTAAAGTCTATCATGTATGTAAAATAACTTGTTTTCAACTACATGTGTGTTTGTGTGCGGGATCTATAAATAACTGTAACCAGGCAGAAAGGAACTAAAACCTCCTATGCTTTGCTTTATTAAAACCCCACTTTGAGATTTTAAGTAGAATATCTTTTGCAGCGTGATATATGCCCATAAAACATTCATCTCTGGATTCTCTCACTCCCTCTTTCTCCCTCTTTCCGCCAAACGCACCTCGCTGCCCCGCCCTCGCTTCCCACCTCCCCGCGGTAAACGCACACTGACGCTCACCAGTGCGGCCGACATCCGTGCGCATCCACCACACTTTTCTCCGTGTACTTGGGAAATATACAGCGGGGCAAGTGATCGGACTGGATATGTGCTGCGATTTCAAAAACATGGATCCAATACTGATTTTTCGCCTGTGTCGTTGATTCTCCACTTGTGCGTTAACACTTTGAGCTCTTCTCCGGAGCTGTTTGCGCGCCCTATATTTTGGGGAGGTGTCGACTGGTGTGTCGAGTCTGCTGATCCCAATTTGGATGTTTATTGCTGACTATTTTTTTAATCCCTCGTCCAAATGACTGAGCTCGGGTGCAGCCGGAGACGTGGCTCCCCACTCGGGAAGACCTACGGCTAAAGTTTGAAGGGTGCAGGGGTGCTTTAGGCTGTCCGTCTCCCCACCGTGCACTGGATTTGCAATTACCCCCATAAATTGCAATAAACAGCGGATATCCTATCTGTCTCCGCACACGCTGGGATTCATTCGACTTGGATTTATACAGCTTCTGGATTTCACCCCCATCTAAATCATGAAGACCGTTATTATTGATGGTGAGTACGCATTAGACAATAGGACGTCTTTGTAAAGTTTTCACATAAAGCAGACAGGAGGATCCTGCTTGGTTACTGCGCAATGATAAAACGCACATCGAGCAGTGTCACCGGTCTGTGGAGAGCAGACACAACCACAGATAAATCAGATGTCCTAATTGGAGTTTACTCTGCTGGCTCCTCCGGGGTTTGGTTAAACTGCTACATGACTGATAATCTGCGCAAAAACACCTCCAATCTGCACAGTGACACATTGTTCTATGATTTTTGGTGCGTAAAAAAGCCCAAGCGTCAATATCAGTTATGGATATTGCGGCTGTAAACGACCTTGACTCAGTGGCTCTTAATTGAGTCATAATTCAGAGCAGATTTTGTGCGTGTCCTTTTTCCTTTTTTCCTCGTTTGTATGCGTGCGTGTTGGAGTGCGCGAGTGGGGCGCGCGTGAGAGCGAGTGAGAGGCCATGTAGTATTTGTGGTGGTCAATATGCTCTGCATGATATCGCAACTTAACCCGGGCATCCGATCAGCCCGTCTGGCCGCTGTGGGCTGAGCTTTTCATGAAGTCTGCAGATGGTCCGCTTGGCGGCCCAATAATACCGCTTTGCTTTCCAGCTCCTTGGCTTATAATTGGTGTTTCTGAGGCATCGTCCCACTCAGGGTGCCGCCAAAAAGACAGGAAATTGGGCCTTGTAGCTTTCACCGACTGGACGTGGAGCTATTCTAATGAGGACAGAAATGCTCCTCCGTTCCCGCCGGAAATGGCTAAGAATTTCATTTCTTGGCAGGAGCATGCCGTAGGTTGTGTGTGTGTGTGTGTGTGTGTGTGTGTGTGTGTGTGTGTGTGTGTGTGTGTTGTGTTTGTGTGCGCGAGGAAAGGTGGAGAGAGAGAGGGAGGGACGAGGAGGAGGAGGGGGAGAGAGGAGGAAGCACCTGGCATGTCAGTGCGTGTGTTCCTGCACGCCTGATTGTACCCGTGCCTGTGTTGTGTAAATATGTTTAATGCAGTGCAGAGAGAATAACACCGGCATGGCGTGTAATGTTCGATAAGCAGCACCACGATGAGATAAGTGCACGTATGCAACATCCAATTTGTTCCATCAAGAGCTTGTGGAAAACACTCATCTCCACCCTGCCCCACCCCTGCACACACACACACACACACACACACACACACACACACACACACACACACACACACACAGTGCTTATGCAACATGCTGTACACACTCCCTCTCCCTCACGTTGTTCATTACTTGGCTAAAACTGCGGGATTATGGTAAGAAAGCCTCAGATTATTGTGGGCCTGCAGAGTAACTTTGCATTTCACAACTAGCAAAATCAAAGGGGCACGTCTACTTGTGCATTCTCTTTGATATGTCACAGGGTGATGCAAATTCAAGTGCACACCCCCTTCATTGGCACAGAATGGCTCTGGGTCCCTCAGACCCTTCAGGCAGGTTTTTCATCATCCGACTGCTGGTGTGATTTAGCACCAGGCTTCTGACACACACCTATGTCTGACTTCTTTTTTTTTCCCCGCCTCATTCCGGCTGCAATTATAATTGGTATCCATCTCTCAAGGCTTCTGATTTGGCTGAGAAAATATGGCCTGTCGTGTCTTGTGTTTAAAGTGTCAGAGCGAGGAGGGACTTTAATTTACACTCTTTTTCACCCAGTCAGCATATGATCAAATGACTCTGTGGGAAAACTGTTGCTCGGGGGTGCCATTGCTCCCTGTCTACTGCCAAGCAAAGCCAATAAAGCCCAAATGAATGGATAAAACCATTATGGTGGAACTGAAAGCTTTCTCTTCGGGAGTTTTAAACCACTACACAATGAGGGCATTTTTTTTTTTTTCAATTAGTTAACTTTGTTATTGTTTTGGCGGTGCCTTGCCAAAAAACTCTGGCCTATTTTAAAAATAGGCCACAAGATGCTGCATCTGTGGTGGCGAGATAATTGTTTAGAATATTATCAAGCCGTAAAGAAAAGGATGGAACGCAAAGGAAAAAATAAATAAATAAGAATAACAATGGATGATTTACATAGCAGCATTAGGTGGGATCAAACACCGTGCCATAAACTGACAGAGACATGGCATCTTCCGCATCCTGAAAGGGAATGTGAAATTGATCCATCTTTGTGTTTGTATGGGTGTGCGTATGAGCACAGAGGGAGGGCTGGGAGGGATAATGTGTGTGTGGGTGTAGTGTTCTATGAGTGCACGGGGAGGTGTGAGGAAAGGAGAGGCAGGGGAGAGAAGTAGAGACAAAGAGAGAGGAAGAGAGGATGCATGTGAAACTGAGAAGTGTGAAGGTTGTGTGACGCTTGCGTGCCACTGTGCGTTTTCAAGTTAAATTATCCTTCATCACCTGTCAGCGTGCCATCTGCATGAATGCCGCAGCAAAGCCAGAGAGAGAAAAAAAAAGAATTAGCAACTCTGCATTTTTCCGTGTGGAATGTGTTACTTGTTTCTGAGTTGTTCTTATTCTCCTAATTGGCCGAGGCCGACGACAACACCAGTAAAAGCACAACTCTTCTCTTGAGGCAGGCAAGGGGAAGTATGCAGGAATTTTTAACTCCCCACAGAACAAAATGACAACAATATATCCGGAGCTGGAAAGGTTGTTGATCAATACAAGTGACTCATTGATTACTCTGCCAGGTGCTGAGATTTCTGGCTTTCATTTCCAGCTTTTTTTTTTGGCCTGAATTTCAGGACCCTCCCAGTCTCCCCGGCCTCATTTATTCACTTTTTCCAACTCTTTAACAATTGAGGATGGTGCTGTGAGGAAGACCTTTCAGCTATGAAGACTAATAAGCCCCATTACCTGATCCAGGGACCTGAGCAACTCCTAAAGGAGGAGATAATAACTTCTGCTACTGTTGTTGCAATTCCTTCTGGTCGCCAATAGAGGTCAATAAGGTCACACATTGGCTATTGTCCCTTTGTGATGAAGCTTTGGGGGTCATAGGAGTCAACACAGCCATGATGGTGCAACATGTGGTTTGGCTGCAACCGAGACCAAATCACACCGAGGCTGGCAAACACAAGGTTTGGGCTTGGTGTTCTTCCACAAAAAATATCAGCATTGTTTTGTGTGTTGGCACTGGATCCAGTAGACAATGAGTGTAAATACAGGAGGTAGTTGGAGGATAATTGGCTCTAGTGCAGTCCAATGCAGACATCCAGCCTTTGTTCTACCTGTCTTTGTCGTATCTGCACAACACTGTATTTTTTTTGTTCCATCACAACAAAATCTCTTTGTTTCTCTCACAAGTCAAAAACATTCCCGTCCAACGATGTACCAGCTCACCTAGAAATATAATTAATGTTTCTTAGCAACAGAGCACTAATTGTTTGATAATGGTGTCTAAAACTTGCCAAAAGGGATTTTAATTCCTCTAAATATGTCCGAAATGGAATTGCGCTCCTCGAGCATGGGCGGATTGTGAGACAATGGGCCCCTGGGCACAGATAGGCAAAAAGGCCCCACCACCTCAGCTACATAGGAGCAAGACTTACAGGCTTAATGGTGGTTTTGCCTGGGGGTAGGAATCACCAGAGGCCCTGTGATACTATAATATCACAATGCTAGGGTCACAATATAATATCACTGCAATTTTAAATGTTGTGAGGCAGTATTGCAACAACATATATTGAGATATATTGTGATTTATTAAATTTTTCAGCACAAATTATGTCCCCAAAAGCCCCCTGCAGTCTGTTCATCACCCATTAGTAAATTTTATTGCAGAAAAATGTCTGTTGAACTGCAAAGAAATTGATTTTATTATTGTAGTCGGCTACCAAAGTTTATTTTGTATTACAATTTATATAATAAAAAGATCAATACTTGGCATCCATTTTTGGTGTTGTTTTTATCTCTTTGCAGATCCTTTGCAACTCTTTGTGGTCTTTTTGTGTGTCTTTGTGGACATTTTGTGTAGAGATGTACCGATACCACTTTTTCCTTACCGATACCGATTCCGATCCCTCAACCTTAGGTATCTGCCGATACCAAGTACCGATCCGATACCAACGTGTAAAATAAAAATGGATGGGATATGAATTGTTGTATGTCTCAACTCCTAAAACTCTATGTAAAATATTAAGAAATAAATACATAATAGTAGAATGAATGCCATAAAACTTTTTTTAAATTATTATTATTATTATCCAGTGTTGACACAGATCAAGACACAGGTTAAAGTGCAGCCACACAATTTGGTAAAGAAGACAATTTAAAGGCTACAGTCTAATGCTTTTTAAACTCTGTTCCATTTCAGTTTCATTTGCCTGTAGCCTGCATATGTGTAATGACGTGAGGCATTACGTGGTATCGGATTGGTCATAGGCTGTACTCGCCGATACCCGATACCACATTTTAGGCAGTATCGGAGGCATTTCCGATACTGGCATCGGTATCAGTACAACTCTAATTTTGAGTCTCATCCTGGATAGTACATCTTAATTTGAGTGACATTTTGCTGGTGAAGGCTGGCAAAACCCTGTTAGACCTCTGACCCCTGGGCCTGTGGTCGATAGACCTGTCAAGTAATCCATCCATGTCTCCACGTAATGCACTACTTGATGATTATTAACATCTCTGAAGAGTTGTTTAAATAATAGGATCTAGTTTATACGTGCAGAATTAGTGGTAAAGCTGTAGCAGAATATTGAATTTATTACTATCCAATGATCCTTTTTTATTCATATTCTGTTACAACTGGGTAATTTTTTACATGAAATTGCAAGATTATAATTGTTATTTTACTTTTTTTTTATCATTGTTTCAATTTTCTTTAATGACAATTTTATATCCAATTAAATTAGGAGTATTTTTCATTATCAGTTGCAATATATGATGCAAGAGTTCGTGCGGAAAAATGTGATTCCTACAAAAAAAACTAAAAAATCTTTTGGATTCCTTTTCACATTTGTGATCCTGTGAGCCATAGTATTCATATTTCCTATCGATCGCTCCGTGTCTAAAGGA